TTTTTTTTTCATACATTCAAATTTAAAAAGAATCAAAGACAAAAATAAAATAAAAAAATCAACAATATCTGGATAAATAATAATAATAATAATAATAATAATAAAAATTCTTTGTAATATCATGTCCTTCTTAATAGCATTCACTCACATATCTATATCTATACTAGTTCTTCATACATTAGCATCTTTTTGCTCTTGCTACTAAGTTTTAATAATAGGTTCAAAATTATGATTTTCATTAACTGGTAATATTGAAGATGAAGGTTCGTCCACCACTCCAATTGGAAATTCATTAAAATGACATTCTTTACGAAGAAAGTTGTGTAGTGTCGTACATGCTAAAAATTATTCTAAACAATATTTCAAATTTTTTATAATTTATGATTTAAAATATTTTTTTATAAATTTATAAATGATTAAAAAAATAGTTGGATAGCTACCCTACTCTCTTATAACTAAATATGTCCCTTCATTTTATATTGGTATTTAAGTGAAAGTTTGTCTTTCATACACTTTTATTTATTTAAAATATCTTAGAAATTTATAAACATCAACTAGGAGAAAAAAAATATATGAAATTTGTTACAAGTACAAAATAATTTTTTAATTTTTTAATTGCTTTCAATTATTCACTTGTGAAGAAATATTTTTAGTATTGAATTCTAAGATACTATAATGTCTTATATTAATTTTCTTTTTTAAAACATAAAAAATCCTAATTTCACAATATAAAAATTTAAAAAAAAATTATAGTAAAAAAAAAAGAAATAAAATAATTTTTGAGTCATAAAAAGGGAAGGATAGCAATAACAAATTCAAGAGACAGAGAGAGATCACAGTTTTTGTACTGAGATGCTTCTTCCCCCAGTTAAGATTCATTCTTATCTTATTCTACTCACAGAAACCTTAACTTAAATTCATCTTTTATATATATTTTTTGTTCTAATAAATTGATTACAAGGTCTTGAAGATCTATAGTTGATTATAGAGATCATGATATCAATTTTAGTTTTCACCTTTCCCTTTTTCTTGACGCATGTTATAAAAACAATTACTACTTAGAAATTGAAATTTCAAGCATTTTTCGTGTTATATAACTGAGGAACAATCTCAACTAAATAGAGCAAAATAGAGTAAGTCAATTAAAGATAACGGAGAGAAAAATAGAGCAAGTCAATGACACTATCATTTACGTATAGAAGTTTTACCAAATAGGGGAATGGAATGAGAACAGTAGTACAGTATTATATATGAGCAATAGTGCAATATTATTAGCAAGAAAAAAAAATGGAGAAGACATGAGCATAGAAAAAAAAAAGAAATGAAAAGACAATCTTCCAAAATCTGATGGATTTGGATAGAATTATTTTATGAATTTGGTATTTATAGATACCGCTAAAAAAGTCCTTCAAAATCCCACCAATACAACAATCCTTTAAAATTCCTATATTTTTTAATACCAATGGATTGTTTTTAAGTTGTAAAAATTCTCAAATGAGTACCAATGGATTTTAATGGACTCTTAAAAAAATCTTGAAAATCCATATTAAATACCATTGGATTATTTTAAAGAGACATAAAATCCTAATTGAATACCAATAGACTTTTTTACTATATAAAAAAAAAAGTCTATTAAAATCCTATGAAATCCTAAACCAATACATCCTCTTGGTATAGTATATTCTTTCACTTTTCCATTTAGCTATAACAAGCTTTTATGAGCCAAAGTACCTTTCATTAAAAATTTCATTTATTTAGTTCGACCATTTAACTATAACAAGCTTTTATGAGCCAAAGTACCTTTCATTAAAAATTTCATTTATTTAGTTCGATATATGTGCAATGAACGATTTATTTTAAGAAATTAGATTAAATGATATTTAATTAATTTTATAAATAAAAATTGATAACAATAATAAATATAAAGTATAATAATATTAACAAGGGTTGAGTACTAACGTACAAGGACCTAACACTTGCGCACCTAAATTTTAGTTTTAATTTTGTTATAGGAATGCTTGAGAGTCAATATTTTAATGTCATATTTAAATAATGGCCGCTCAAAGCATATGATTGGAGACCCTTCAAAGCTCTCAAGCCTCAAGATGAAGCATAAAAGCTACGTGACTTATGGGGACAAAACCTCTTAGTGACTTGGTTGTGGTAATATTGATAAAACCTCTTATACACTAATTGAAAATGTTTTTTCTTGTATAAAGACTTAAACATAAGTTGTTGAGTAAATTTTAGTTATGTAATAAAGGTTTTAAAGTTGTGTTTGACAATGATTATTGTTTGATTAGTGATAGCTCTACAAATGAAATAAAATTCATAGGTAAAAGAATAAAAAATATTTATATGTTTGATTTGGAATTTGTGTCTACACACACACTAAATGTTTGTTGTCTAAGGAAGATAATACATGGTTATGGTGTAGGAAGGTTGTACACATACAAATGGATCACTTAAACAAACTTATAAGAAAATAATTAGTAATAGGACTTCCTAAATTCAAATTTTATAAGGACAAACTATGTGATATTTTCCAAAAAAGAAAACAATTAAAGTTTAGTTTTAAAAGTAAACATAGAGTTTCAACTTCAAGGCCTTTACAATTAATTCATATGGATTCATGTGTAACACCCTTTTTTTTAGAAAATAATATTATTTATAAAATTATATTTTTATTATATTTTTTGGGATATAGAGATATAATTATTATTATTTTTATTGAAGAGAAATATATTTTATATTATTATTATTTATTTAATAATTATTTTGGAAATGAATGAGAAATGGGTTGAAATTGAGTTGAGTTGGGTTGACCCAGCCCGAGGGAATGAAAAGGAAGGGTTAGCAGACTAATCCCATCAGTTCTCATTTTTGACATTTTGAAGGAGTAAGAGGAGAAGAGAGAATATAAAGAAGCTTTGAGGAGGAAAACTCAGGAACAACCTCGGATTTCACCAAGACTATCATATTCACTTTATCAGGTACGGGGAAAAGGGGAGATTTATGTGTAGAGTCACATGACAGAATGGGTGGAGAAGAGTTCCCTTAGAATTTTTAATAATTTTATAATTATTTCTGTCTGAAGAATTGTTGGTATTATGAGATTCTGTATGTGTTTATTATGAATATGTGATGAATTGTTAAAATTGATGTTCTGAGAGAGAGATTGAGTTGTTTGAAATGTGCTTGTAAGTTAGGGTTCATGAGGAATTGGAGTTTTGATAATTGGTAAGTTATTTTGTGAAATTGATTATTCAATCGAGTTTCATATTGATTTATAAATTTGGTTGTGATATTATTTGGTAAAATTGATGATTTAGATGATGATTGAATTTATTGGGATGTGCTCTATAAGTTAGGGTTTTTGTAAATTGATGAACACCCTTAATTATATGAATTGATGAGTAATTGAGAGATTTTACTTGTGGATGTACCTTAGTATTTTTTGTAGTATCTTTCTGTGTGATTAACCAAATCAATTTTAGTTTGTTGGCTTAGAAATTAGACACTGGGGGCTATAATTTAAACTCTAGAATCGTGTAAAAATGTTAAGAATTGGTTGAGTTATGCGAGTTATAAGTTCAGTCTTCATTCTAGTGCGCGAAATATTGTTTTATGTTGTCAGTTATACGAGGTGACATTAACGACATTTTTAGGCTTCATTTTCTTCACAAAAGTTGTAGCTTTGGGTGTTATATTTCTAATGACTTTAGAATCACTCCAAAAGGATGTCTAAAGCTCCAGTTATGGTTGTTTTAGTGAACAGAGGTCAAGTTATCAACATTGATTATATATGTTGCGATTTTTGACATTTTTGGCTAAGTAGATGATTTTTTAGAATTTCATGTCTTCATAAGAGTTGTATATGATCCTCTTATATTTCTTTTGAGATAGGTTTTAGCTTATTTGGATGAACATAACTCTCTGTATGTTATTTTCTTTGACAATTGTCAAAGGGAGACGTATGTTGTTTTGATATTCTAAGGTATTATGGTTTAATTAATGATTAAATTATGATGCTAGTATGTTGGTATGAATTGAATGTGATGTGATTGTGGATATCCTCACACTTATGTCGGCGTGGCACGACCTTGGGCATGAGAAGTTATAGGGGTGGCATGAACATGACATAGTATGGGACGTGTGAGACAATTAACACGTATGTCGGCGTGGCACGACCTTGGCCAAGAGATGCTATAAGGGTAGCGTGAGCATGACATAGTGTTAATTGCAAGATTTGTGTGTGACAATTAGTACTTATGTTGGCGTGGCACGACCTTGGGCACGAGAAGCTACAGGGTGTCGTGAGTTTAACATAGTACAAATTATATAATGTGATGGATTGGTGTGATTGAGAATTGTGATGTAAAGATGATGCATAATTAATAGAATTATGATATGTAAAAATAGTTATAAATATTCCATTATATAATGAGTTATGATGAGATTATATTATGGCGTGTCAATATGTATTTTACATTTAGATGTTTTCTTTTCTCACCTTACAATTTATGATTATTTTAAATGAGAAAGATCCGGATATGAGTGACATCCAGAATGCCAACAATTAAGCTGTAAATGTACTATGATATAGTAACTATTACATGTCTCATTTTTTATAATATTAAAGAAATTCTTTGATTTAGAAATTAATTTTTTTGTTGGAAGTAAGGAGGCGAGTTCAATTCTTATGTTACTTTTTGACAATTTTTTAATCTTATTTTAAAACATTATATCAACAAAAACTACTAAATTCTTAATGAAAGATTGATCAAAGAATCAAAATTATACAATTACAATAGTCTGAAAGATCTAATTCATTCAATTGAGACTTGAAAAACCAAAATTATAGTGATACTTAAAAGATCAAAATTGCTAAATTATGATACTTGAAATACCAAAAATACATTTAATCTTTATCAAAAAAAAAACTTTTCTAAACCTAGAGTAAACCTTAACACTATTTACATGGTTTCGGCACAATTAGATGCATCAGGCAAAACGATCGAAGAGAATCGGAATAAATATTAAAATTTAATTATACATTGATTAGAAGTAGAAGCAACCAAGGTTGCTGAGACGCAAATTCATGCTGTTTAGAGCCATCTTACATTATGAAAACAGTCTCCGGACATCCTGTTTTTCTTATCAGTTAAGCTCATGTTGATGCTTAACCCCAAAATAAGATTCATCATTGGTTCAAGCTTTCAGGTTCAAGGATCGTTCAATTTCTTCCAGAGAGCGACCCTTGGTTTCTACTATGAAGTAATAGGCAAATGCTGCGGCTAACAGGGAAACTGCTCCAAAGCTAGCATACACAGGTGCAACACCAAATTTCTCCACCAACTCAAGGAAGAATAATCCCACCACAAAATTGCAGACCTGGATACCGGGGACAAAATTTAAAATTAGTAGCCTGAAAAATTAAATCACGAGTACCAACTAAAAAGAGCACATGAGAGGTTTCAAAACCCACCCAATGGGTAGAAAAACTGAACCCCATGATCTTCCCTCGTGTCCTGCTGCTGCTAAGCTCTGGTATAATGATACCAGTCACAGGGCCAGCTCCAATTGCAAAACAGAATATATACCTGTGAAATTGTATAAAGGGAAAACGCATCATCCTTGTGCCAATCTTCCAGAAAATATAAAATACTGGAAACTGCCTCGGAACATCTTCAAATTATCATCTATGTTCATGTTAATAAATAATAAACGAAATATGCTTACATCTCTAAAGTAAAATATATTGATAAAATTTTATGGCACATTATTATTAAATTAGGAAAAACATTAGGGTATGCCACGAATCCACTACCAAACAGTGTTAATGTCATTGCGTTGCTATAGCAGTGTTGTTTTGTGGCAGGTGGCTGCTATGGGAAGTCAATTGCATTGCGTTTGTATGTTGTGTTAGCAATCATATGGACAATATCAGGTACATACAATCACAGTCACAGCCACAATGATGTATAGTGACATAAACCCAACTTGGCCCCTTTTTCTGAGTTTCCAAACCATTTTATTTTGGCACTTTTGTGACTTCTTTTTCCCTTTTTCATTACAAATTCCTAGTGGCTTTGGATCGCCTCTCCCCGTGATGGGCGATGCAAGCACTGAAACAACCCCAGAATAGCTCCCAGGCATTGTGTACAGCCAAGCCCAGCATATTCCGGCACACGCACAACTTGCCGGCTTCCTCTACTGATCTTGCCCATGCTCTCCTGGTCTCCATTTACGCTGGTCTGCTGATTTGCTCTGTTTTGACTTCTGATTCATGCACTTCACACCAGTCACTGTTCAATTTAATTTTTGGTGATCTGGTCATCATTCATCTTCTCATTGTACTGACTTCTCTTTTCTTATTAATTGAAAACATGAATTGAATTTTGGGTTTTTTTTTTTCTATCTTGAGCATTTAAATGTATAATATAATGTTTAACTTTTTTTCTTTAAACTTTGAGTAGTTTTGTAAAAGTTTGAAAAGAATAAAATCATATATGATTCTGATCCTTCTTTTCTCCTATCTTTAATTTAAATTATTTTGTAATCTGATTGGCCTGAGAATCTCTCTAACCAATTCTGTCAATGAATAAGAAAAATAAGTATTTGAAAAGAGAAAAATAGAGAGAGAAGCATATTAATCTGAACAAGCTTCAAGTGATTGTCACCTATGTTTTAATTGGGGATGAAAATGCTAGGTGGATGTCGCAAGAGATATATTGCAATAGATTCTTAGCAGCGGCAAGTAAATGCTTACATGATAGTTCCTAGTATTGATAAGTTGTTGCTGAATTGCTCGTCCAATGGTAAGATGACAGCAGAGGCCACGAGAAACATTGAAATTGCCTACATAGATACAGAAGTGAAAGTCATCGGTAATAATCTCGTGAGAAAAGGATAGACTACTAGGAGCAAGATCTAAATGAATTCAGTGTGTACTGCGTGCACATTATAGGAACTTGTAAGTATAGCTCTGTTTCATTTATAATAATCAATCTTTTCTTCTGTTACTGATGAGGAGGACAAAACAGTACAGAAAGAAGGGGAAGATACACTAAATAAATGTGAAATAACAGAAAAAGAAAAAGAAACAGCAGCCTCCTATCCCCATCACATTTTATCTGCCTCACTACTGAGATCATCCCCTACCCTTTCCTATTTTGCTCTTGTCGTAGGTCCCTCCATCTAAGTTCTTGGGAGTCCTCTTCCTTTTCCTTGATCTCCTCTTCTAGTAGTCCTCTATTATCATCCCCCAATCCCTCAATAGCACCTGTCTCCATTCCGTAATATCTCTCTTGCCTCAACTGAATAATTCCCCTCCAGGTAGACTCGTCTCTTATTTCTCTCATACAGTGTTAGAACTTTATCATTATCATTGGACCTACAGAGCCTTCTCCTATACATTGGAAATGGACCTACATCTGTCCAAATTACTGTCAAGTGTTGACCCTTTATTTACTATCCCCTTCCTACAAATACATTAGTGATAGGGGTCTATCAGTGCACATATGCCTGTATCTATGTATCCTTGCATGTGGATGACAGATATCTTCTGTTTACTTAATTGCCTAGCATGAAGTTATGAATATTCTGTTCACACTCACCATTCCTACATAGCTTCCTATTAGAAGTTTCTGTCTCCCTTCCCTATCAATCAGGTATAAAGCACAAAGTGCACCTGAAGAAAAACAACAGATCAGAACAATCAGAATCAGATTCCTACAAGAAATTCAGAGAGATAAATTATAAAAATGAAAAGTAGTGCAGATTCCAAACCTGCGAAGTTAGTAAGCCCAACAAACAAGCTTGCTAAAGCACTGCTTTCAACTCCAACTTCTTGAAAGGTCAATGATGAAAAATAAAGAACTCCATTTATGCCTGCAAATTGCTGAAGTACAAAAAGAGTACCTCCAATAAAGGTAACTGCAATCATACAAGAAAACCGACGGCAAATTTTATACTTTGAGTTTAAAGTGTCATGTGCAAGTAATGATTATAAAATATGTCTTTGCTTATACAAGAAGAGTGTTCTGCTCTATGGAGCTAAATTCATTCCCTTCTCCAACTGAAACTATTAATTTAACGTGCTTAACTGCTTATAATTCTCCAGACGTGGTAATCAATCCATTAGGCTACTAGGATAGGGAAACAAATAATTTTCCAAGCACAGAATGCTGCCTATTGTCTAATACTAACAGCCAAAACCACCTTGACACAACCTCTAGAATGTGGCTCCTCCAAGATGTCTGACCATCGGCTGTCCAAATCACTACCATCATTCTTGGTGACGGACTGAAATTCCTCAATTGCAGTATCAACTTCAGATGCTCCCCAAAGCTCGCGTACTACTGATTTAGCATCATTTATTCTCCCAGCCTGAGCAGAGATATTAAAGCTTTATAAACAGTGTAAAAGCTTATAACTATCAATTAAGTAAATAACAAGCTTCCCTTGCAAAGCCATCAATTATAAACAGTGGAAAAGCTCATAAGTATCAGTTAAGTAAATAACAAGCTCCAACCTTGCAAAGCCAGCGTGGACTATCAACAGCAAACTGTATACCAAGTGCAACAAGAATACCCGGGATACTAGCAATATACAGCATTGTCCTCCACCTGAAATATGTTTCTGTTGGTGCCAAATAGGAATTATTTGGAAAACAATTCTGTTTTTAAAAGACTATAAACCTATAATTGATGGAAAAATCAATGTAAACTTTAAGTGCAGGCTTGAATTCAGTGAACCTTAAAAATGTAAGTTCCTGTCACATGAAGTCCAAAATACAGTATTGAAAAATGAAAACAAGATGAGTCTAAAGGCCATTGTTTTCAAATATTTTCACTACATCTTTTGACAATGTTGCAAAACAAGGCCGTGAGCCAGGTGGCTCTGGCTCTACATCCTTAAGTCCAGTTTGAAATAACAGAATATAGGGATAAAGCCAAATTCTTGGCCTTTTCACATTTACATTAATCCATGAAAAATTAACAGAGGAGAAAAGACATTTAGACACACATGTGATGCAATACAAAAATTAACAGAATATAGGTCCCCTTGCAGCAGCGGCAAACAGATGTGCTGCAGTCTTGATTACTATTCACCTCATGACCTCTGTTGCATAAACAGAATGGGAAAAAAATCCAAGACTATTGATACTGATAGCAGCCTAAGTGCAACTAAAGGAAGTGGAGAAAAAACGGGCTAAAAGAAGCACTCAGAAGCCCAGTTGGCATAAAGATTATGTTTTTAATTAAAATAGTTGACCCAATTTCTATCTTATAAGCCCAATTATGTTTCAGCATAGTTTAGTTTTTCTTTCAAAAAAAGTTAGAATAGTTTTATCAACTATTGGGCCTTGGCTGGAGGGTGCTTGTTACCCTAATTTTCAAGTTGTATTTATTCTAACATGATGAAATGAAATGGCAGAAGAGATTATTCCCTTTCTTTTGGTAGCTGTAGTGTTGGGAGATTTGGTCTATCTCGAAGCAAGACCTTGTTAGGAAAACTGCAATTAAAATCCTAACAGTTATCATATAGAAAGTGCTTGTTTGAATGTGTCCAATACCCACACACCGGGTCTTATTTATAATCAAGAATCCAGATAGGAAATAGTTATGGATACAAAGAATAAATCAATCCCTAATTTCTAGCAATGGATGTGTTACATGTTTTCATATTTACATTACAAGTAATAAAAGCATATACTTAAAACTAACATACAAACCCAAGAGAAAATTTGTGATTTAAATATCAAATCTATGAATCTACAAGGAAACAAAATAAGGAACTCACCAATGTGGATCAGTCTCAGAAGGTATTCCAAGAAATAGTGAAGTAATAATGCCAAGACAAGTGCCAATTTGACATAAAGACCCTAGGGCACCCCTATATTTTGTTGGGGCTACCTACACCACATGTTAGCAAAGAGACACGAGTGAGGACTTGCTATTGCTGTTTTAAATTGTCTTCCCTCCACATATCAAAAATAAAATAAAATAAACCAGAAGATAAAATTAGTGAGTACAATACAACCCATTTTGATTGAAATATGAATATTCTTTCTACATGGAACCGGGATTTGCTATAACAATTAGAAATTGGACTGTTTTATTTTCATTATAACTAAGAAATAAACATCATTTATGGAAAATATTACATGGATTTGGCATATGGTGTAGACTGTAAATTGTAGAGATCAAATACATCAACCTAGTACAGTTGGAGAATGAGAAAATTATTATGAACAGAGCTAAAGTTGATGTCAACATGTACCTCAGATATATATATTGGAACAAGAACGGTATTCACACCTATACCAAGACCAACAAGAAACCTTCCCCCAATTACCTCATTCAAGGTGTGGGCTTGTGCACTGTCACAAATTAGAACAGGTATGTTAACAAAATGACTTCATAACTATAATCTCAAATCAAATTGCTTGCAATCTGTGGGCAATATGTATTGATGATCTAGAACTTGGAAAAGCCAATCATGTTATCATAAATCATTTATACATAATAAAATCACATTTTAGAACAATGGATTAAAAATATCAGATAATAATGACATGGTAGACAAACTTTATACACTAGGAGTATGTTTGTTTCATGGATTTAAAACATACTCAGAATGTGAACTTGGGAATGTAGTATTCCCATGTTTGTCATAAGTTTTTAAAATGTATTACAGGCTATTGATCATTCCCAGAAAAGTAGTTACATCATGATTTGTTTCATTTCTATTCCAATAGAACGGTGGTAAAGTTTCATTTCCATTGGAATGTAGAAAGTTATTTTTTAACCGTTATAACTTTCATTTCAACTCTTATTTTTATTTTAATTATTTCAAAATTTGAAAAATACTCATGGGAATGTTAAATGCAAGCCAACCATATTTTTAAACGTTCACAGGATTAACATTTCTAATTATAATATTACCGGGAATGTGATTCCTAGAAATCCAATATCATAACATGAAACAAATGTCTCCTAAATGTTTTTCAATACAAAGGAAATATGTTCAGACATTTAAGTTACCTCACAAAAATATAAGAAACACATTTAATTACTAAAAATCATTGACCACAGAAGCCAACGCATAATAGTCACAACCTTTGCTTAAATACAAGCTTTTTGTTAGTGTGTTTCTCTAGAATCCAAGGTATAAAGGCAGGTGAAATAAAAATAAAAAATAAAATAAAAAAATTCAAAATCAGATGGAAGACAATATGAGAAAGCAAAAATAGAAAGATAGAAAGAAGCAGTGTACTAATAATTTATACCAATGAACACTTTGGACTAGAAGTTTGCATGTCACATGTAGCAAATTCCAACCCTTCCCCACGTATCATATGAACCTATTGAGAGACTTTAGATATGCATAAGGATTAAGGCCAACTATAAATAAAATGGCTGTCAAACAATTAAAGTTCTCCACTTTCAGAAAGAAGAACACATAGGACACTTCATGGGAAAAAAAAAAAAAAAAAAACTAAGGATCTTAAAAGAATGTGTTAGGAACCAAGAAATTAAATGAGAAAGAAAAGAAATATTTATTTCTTGATTGCAAAGGAACAAATCCAAGTGTTTCCCCTTCACATAGGATTTCTTCTTTCACAAAGAGCTAATGCTCAACTTACAGTTGATCAGATATCAATCCACCCTTCTATCCTTCTTCCCCTGTTTATATCTAATTAAGCCCTCTAATTAACTAACTAATTCATCAATATTCTAACTATCCTAACTACCTTGCCCTTCCCTATAGTCCTAACAGAATGCAAATGAATTAATTGGTTTTGCAAATCATCTTACAAGAATTAAGAAGCTTTTTCTGTTTACAAACTTGACTCTAGCTTGAGTTAGCTGGTTAAGAGGATTCATTTTCAAAATATTCACATGAAAGCAAGACAATCACAAGATCCACAAGAAAAAATTATGCTATTGATAAATTTCATCACCCATATACACTACCTTATTATTGCCCCAAGGATTAAGGGTATGCTGTCAATCTGAAATGTGAGCCGGCAACCAAATCTATCTACCAATGAACCAGAGCTTATGCTCCCAATAAATGCACCAGCAATAAATATACTAACCACGAGTCCCTCAATGAAGGAGTTTCCCTCAAAACCAAGCTCCCGAGCGATGGAAACAATAGGGCCATTCATGACTCTGCAAAATATGTAAACCAGTTTCAAATAATTCACACTTCACAAGTGAATCAAAAATCAAAAAAAAAAAAAAAAAAAATTCCAGTCACCACATAGTTTTATATTTTCATCATGCTGTCCTCGGCTTATCACATTAAAAAATCAGCTACGTGGCTGAAGCATAATCTGTCAACATTAATCACGTATTCTTGCTTTAACTGATGGAATACCATCCTGGCTTTTACTTTCACAAGCTCAATGAAACACACTTGACTTGACCGCCTTTATTGAATTTCAACTATATCCATTGAACTATTTAATTTTAATCCACTGTCAAACTAAAATTTGCATCATCAAATAATGTCTTGCCACATCACAAAAAAGAGTTTGATCACTCATCACCATGGCTAAAAATTGCAAGCCGCATGACATGATGCGTATGCAACATCTCAGTTGCAGTGGCTGTCACAAGACTCACAACCAAATCTAATCATGGTTGCGTACAACACAGGCCGCAGTAGGTCGCCACAATAGTCACTATAATTTTAAACTCTGTTCATCTGTTAAACTCTTTAATATTATCTTTGGAACAATGATGGAAAGTGAGAAAGAAGAGAAAAATTTTAAATTTGAATAGAAAGGAAAGTGAATGGAAAGAAAATTTTGAATTTTTATTTCTAAAAGTCAAATATTCTATCTTTTATTTCCACTTTTTCCTCAACCAAATGAAAGAAAGTACATGGTTATACATGTTTTATCCTCTCTATTTTCTTTCCTTCGATCCACATATACCATAAATGATTCATCACCAGCAATCTCTTTTAGCAATGTGATAATTAACGATCAAACAATAATATATATAAAAAATAAAATAAAAAGTGTACGTGCACATCTGATTCAACTAACTGTATTTCTCTTTCTTAGTACACCTAACAACACACTTTGTACCATATTCCTTCTAACACATTCATAGTTAAAAGTTATTAAAAATTATAAATCCATGAGTAAGGCTCATTAAATAAGAAATGAGCCCCACAAAATTTTGTAATTTTTTATAAATTCCAAAAATAATTAAGATCATGAGAGAGTGTGTTGCTGTTTCTTTTTTTTATCAACTCCATGGTAGTGGTGTTAAAAAGCAAGCAATAATTTCTCTAAAATCAATCTCAATCATGCACTTAGAGTATGTTTGAATATAAGTTAAATGCGATTTAGAGAGATTCTCTACTACCCATAATAAAGAGTATTTTTCGTTTTGTATCCAAACATGCTCTTTGACAAACTACTAATTCCTACATGCTGGAACAGGATTAGCTCGTACCAGTGGTCTGTACTAAAAATGACTGAGAACTGATCAGATTAAGCTGATTTTTTCTTTAACGAAATAAATACATGAAACACATGATCCAATATCTAATTACTTTCCTAACATTTCTTTCAACGAAAAAAGAAACAGAAGAAAGAAAGAAAGAGAAACTGACCCAATGTGATACCCAAATATAAAATTGGACATTGAAGCAACAAGAACGTGGGGAAAAGCAGGCAACCATCCGGAATCAGAATTTGCAGCGTTTTGAGGCAGTGAGAGTTTCTCAGTTCCTTCGTCATCTGCAACGCTACGAGTCTGTTGTTGTGACTCGGGAGGGTCCCTTTTGAGGGCTGAAACTCTGAGCTTATTCGAAAGGTGGCGAGAAGAGCATATCAGAGTGTAAGGCTTGTCTTTGAAGAAGGAAACGAGTTTGGGATTAGGGTCCGAATGAGGAGAGACGATCAATGTTGGTACTAAATTTAAGGAATTCATCCTTCAAAACTCCAAATAATAATAAAATGGAAAACAACAAATATCGTTGTATTCCTTCATCTAGATGGATATTGGATAATGTGAAGGTCACTGATAGAATCTTTCACTTTCACAAAAAAAAATATTGAATCTTTTGCTGTTTAGAATACGACTCTTACTACATCCGAGTTAACATTCTAATATGTGCGCTATATATAAAATATTTTTTGTAACAAGAAACATGAAAGTAGAAGGAAAAAAAATAAAGGAATTTTGGATTCGCAATTCTCCCATGACAAAATTTTAATACAAATACTTTATTGGTGTCAAAATAATACGTAAAAGTATTTTCATGATTTTTGTTACAAAAGTACTTGATTAAGAAATGAAGTTAGATTAGTAAGAATGTATTCTTAAATTTAATAAAACCCCTACCAACACACCCCTTAAGTCGCGCTATTGGAGTTTTATTTCAACATTTCATGTAGTGAAATTTTTCATCAACAATATATTTCATAAATGAAAAAACATTTTCATAATATTAAATTCAGAGAATCGTATTTTTTTTTAAAAAATAATTAAAATCTAGATGCTCACTTGCACGTATATTTTTGATGATATTGTAATACACTTCGAAATTAGTTGTCCACCATGTGTACGAGACACAACCTCCTATTTTAATTTTATTAACAGGTTAATGCATTTTCTTATATTTTAATTTATTTTACATTGGATTAGAGTATGATACTGAATTCTACTTAAAAATGGCACATCTGCTTAAATGCATTTATTCTTACCCTTTAGAACTTATATCAAATTTAACTTCTCTTATAGTTTATATTATTTCATGCAAACTTGACTAGTGAAATAGATGATCCCAAATCCTATTAAAATTCCTCAAAAAGTTAGTTATATTCTAATCATACATAGGTTGAGCCTTGTCTTAATTTAAAATTCCCCATTACAAAATTAAAAAATAATAATAATAAAATAAATAAATAAATAAAGAGTACCATACGGAGTTTTGTTACGCTTGATTACAACAATAGTTACTTTTCTCCTCACTTTAGGACATCTTTAATGGAAGCAACTCATTTGAGTTGCTTCATGCATTAGAAAATGAAAAAAGTGGTCCCTAGTGTGTTATGTCAGCATTAAGCAACTCAAATAGAAATTTACTCAAATGGTAAGAAATTTTAAGAAATTCAACTTTTAGAATTTTTTTTCAAATCATTTATGAACCAAATTAAAATTTTTATTAAAAAGAACAATTGCACTACAATAAAAGAAAATAAATTATGAGAAAAAATACACAATAAGTAGATATTAAAAATAAAATAAAGTAATAGTAAATACATAAACATTATACGAAATTAATTTTCATCATTATTATTTCGGAAACGTTCCCAAATATGTTCAATAAGATCTGCTTGAAGTTGGCAGTGTATTCGTTTGTCATGAACGTCTGCTCTCCTTTGAAGGTATGTTGTTCTAAAATTGGGATGAGCACCTATAGATATTTCAGATCTTGACATGTCATCATCTACACCATCATAATCAATATAATTTTGATAGGTGTCTCGCTCGTCCTCGACAATCATGTTATGCAATATAATACATGCATAAATTATATTTTTCATTATTGCGGCATCTCAAAAATGTTTCGGACCTTGTATGATTGCGAATCGAGATTGAAGCACTCCAAATGCACGTTCTACATCCTTTCTTGTTGATTCTTGTTGTTGGGCAAATAATTTCATTTTTTATCCCTGTGGCATGAAGATGGTCTTGACAAATGTAGCAAAGTCTGGATATATGCCATCTACTAAATAGTAACCCATATTATATTGGGTTTTATTCACGGTGTATTGCACTGTCGGAGCGGTTCCTAAAAGAACTTCGTTAAATACATTAGATGCATTTAACACAATAATATCATTATTCGAACCTGCAGATCCAAAAAATGCATGCCAAATCCACAAGTCTTGTGATGCAACAGCTTCAAGAATGATTGTTGGGTTGGCATGATCACCTCGACAAAATTGACCTTTCCACGCAACTGGACAATTCTTCCATTCCCAATGCATACAGTTAATTGAACCTAACATTCCAGGAAACCCACGTGCCTCTCCCATCCGTAGTAGTCGTTAAATGTCTTCGTTATTAGGGCGTCTCAGATACTCACCCCTAAATATTTCACAAATTCCTTTCACGAATCTTTGTAAGCATTTCACTACAGTGGTTTCACCAATTCTAATATATTCGTCCGCAAAGTCAGCAGGTGTCTCATAAGCCAGCATACGAAGAGCAGTTGTGCACTTTTGCAACGGTGATAGGTCCCTTCTACGTGTTGCATCGAGCCTCATTTGAAAGTACTCATCATGATTGCTTATGGCATCTACAACTCGGAGAAACACATGTCGTCGCATGCGAAACCGTCTTCGGAACTGAGTTTTTGTGTATACTGGATTTTTAGAGAAATAGTCATTGAACAATTGTTCATGACCTCCCTCACGATTTCGATGAACTACCCTCCTTGTTTGGTTTGTATTTTCTCTATATATTTCGTCTTTCTTAGCTGTAACCTAACTTATTCTCATCATATATTGTTATGTTTTATTCTGAATATTATATGTATGGGGTTTTACTACTTGGTTTAGAAGGACAGATTTTCAATCTTTTGTGGTTTCTTTCTATTGTTTTTTACACTTTGATTCCTAATGTGTTTGAATAGACCATAAATAATAACGACTAGTTTTATAACGGCTAGTTTTATAACGACTAGTTTTACAACGGCTAGTTTCATAACAACACAATTTGAATTACAATAATAAAATAAATTAAAACTCAAATACTTCCCTAAACCCTAAAAGAAATTAAAACCCATATTGTTGTTTAAGATAGTTACAAGACTTCTCATGAGCTTCACGTTGAGTCTCATTCATGTTGGAAGTATCCTTCATTATGATTTCATATGTCAAACGTCTTTCTTGTGCCTCCTTCAACTCAATTAGTCTTGATGCATAGGCATTTTTCTCCTTTATTGCATTTTCTATGCCAGAAAAATCAACAACATTAGTATTGGAAGTTTCTTTTCCTTTGGCCTTCCTTTTGGTTGCCTTTTGTCCTATCGAACGGGATGTTGGCATTGGTATCTCATATTCATCAAGTTCAATGGGTGTCTCTATGTTGGAAGACGAAGAGTAACCACCTGCAGACGTTACCTTCCCTCTTTTTGAATTGTGTTGCACGAAATCAGATTGCCATTTAGGTTCATCTCTCAAAATGACCCATGCATGCTCCATATCAAATTTTTTACCTGTATCTTGAGTGTAAATCTTATGTGCGAATGCCATGACATCTTTCTCCGAACTCCCGCTTTTCTTTTGACTAATTGTTTGTTTGTAGCAACCAATAAATTTTTGAAATGCAGGATGAATTCGATTCCAACGTGCTTTTAGTTGAGTCGATTCTCTCTTTGCGAACTCGCCACGGTCTTCATCGTTGTTGTATGCTTCTGTGATTCTCGACCAATATTATCGTAACATTTGATCAACTCCTATGATTAGATCCTTCGACGTATTGACCCATGACCTCACGAGAATAATATCTTCTTGAATTGAGAATGGAGCACGAATTTTTGTTGTTGATGAATTCTCTACACTTCCATCTAGTTGAATTCCATCGAGACCAATTGGTGATTCAGGTTCACTATTAGGAGTGTCAATATTGTTTAGAGGAGAAGGCTTATAACATGCATTTGGATTAGTGAGAGGTGGTGGTTGACTAAAAAATTGTGGTCCTTGAGAATTATCACCACTAGGTGGATGTGTTGGAAACATATAATATTATGGTGCTGACCAATAAGGTGGTGAATTTTGAAAATTTTCACTAAAATAAGATGGTGGATACATAATATATTACGAAAGAATTTGAGAATTTGCACTCGTCGGTGATGGTTGATTTTGGAAAGAATTTAAAAAATTTTGATGATTGTATTGGTTAAGATCCATTTTTGAGAGCAAAACAAACAAGATAAAAGAAGTAGAAGAGAGTTAAAGAGGTCCAAATTTTTGAATTAAGTTGATGCATATTTATAATGATTTTTTTATTTTTTATTTTTTTTAAAAATGCCAACGACTCTTCAACGATTACTTCAACGGATCTTTCAAGTTATTTTTTATTTATTTTTATTTTTTTAATTTTTTAATTTTTATTTTTTATTTCTTATTTCTTAAACCGTCTCTTTTTCTTTTTCTTCTTCTTCTCTTCGTGAGAGGGTTTTCTCATTTTTCTTCACCTTTCCTCTTCAAACTCCACCTTCAAACTCTGTCTACCGCTGTGTGCAGGTCCAGCCAGAACATCCACCCGCGATAGAACGTCCACCGGCAAGCCTTCGCTGTCCACCGGCGCGCCTCCGCTATCCAACCCCGTGCCTCCTCCGTCCAAACCCACACTGCCACCGTCCAAACCCGCGCCTCCGCGGTCCAACCGCGCGCCTCCTTCAGTTCACAAAAGTAAGCAACCGTTGCTTCACTAAGAAACTCTCTCTCCTCTACAAGAAATTCTTGCTACAACCTCATACCTTTTTAATGGTAAGAAACTCACGTTAGAGTTGCTTGATGAGCCAAGCAACTCTCATTGAAGTTGCTCTTAGTTTCTTCTTTTGGACTCCGTTATTATCCCTTGCTTTCATATTGAGATCGAGAGAATCACTAATATTCCTGGTTATTCATTCATTCATATTTTCGTTTATTTATATATTCAAGTTGTTTGATCAGACATACACCCCTTAGTAAGAGCCGCAATCAAAATAGTTTCAAATATTTTTTTAAAAAAAATTCTATTAACACTGGATTATTTTGTTATCGTGTTTCTGAACCTCTTTTTACATTTAACAAAAAAAAATAAAAAGACAGACAAAACAAAGAAAACAAGTAACTAAGTAATTTCATCATAGAACTAGGTCAGAGTACAGATCAAACACCAAGTTCTAAATTCAAATCTTATTAACTTAATTAAAATCCTTTTTTAAATAAAAATATATAGACACATGACAGGGTAACTTCCAAACAGATGGTCGAGAAAATAAGATTGGGCGTGGATTTAGTAAAAGGTAAACATGTTTATAGCCATTTCTCCTCGTTAAACAGGATAGCAGGTGAGCGACAAAAAACA